CCCACACCCCCGACCCCGCCGCGGCGCGCACGGCCCATAGTCAACAAGCCCGGGGCACAGAACCCTCGGCAGCGGCGCCACAGCCGCAGCCCCGGTGTCAGGAGTGAGACCCCCGTACAGCCACACTCGGCTCGCACACACGGACACACACGCGCACGGACACACGCGTTCACACGCAGCCACACGCTCCCACACACATGTAGAGACCGAAGAATATTCACCTTGGCTGTGGATTATTGTGGTGTTGTTGGTGGGTGATGGAGATGGTGGTGGTGGTGGGGAGGAGGAGGAGGAAGAGGAGGAGGAGGAGGACAGGAGTAGTTGTTGTTGATGGGTAACAGTCGCCAGGACTACGGTGACTATGGCGCTTGATTCACAAGGCAACGGTTGCTATAACTCACAAAAGAGAGAGAGAGGGAGAGAGGGAGCGAGAGGGAGACGGAGACACTCGCAAGGGGAGGGGTGGGGGAGGGAAGAGGGGAGGAGGCGGGCCCGGCGAGTCGCCGGAAGGGGCGGGCCCAGTGATATGACTGACAGCCCCAGCTCCCGGGCTGGCGGGACCGCGACACCTGGGTTCCGAGAAAGGGCTCCGAGTATATGTTCGTAGGTCTGGCGGGGGTTGGGGTCGCCACAGAGGCCTCTCTGAGGTACGCTGCTACACGCGCCGGCGAGACTGGACGGGGAATTTGGGGGCGTGGTGCGAGAGGTGCGTTTTGCGGAAAGAGAGCTGCCAGTCCCAGTAGCCAGCTTTGTGCAAAGCGGCCCCAGTCTTGAGACGGTAAGGGCTAACTCAGGGACCGAAGGTGTTGAGGGCAAGCCAGACCCATTCTGGGCAGGCCAGCAACAGCGAGGGAAGAGCGCACCTTGAAGCGCGATCACCGCACCGCTCCCCCCCGCCTAAAGCGTCATTTCCGGGGCGGGGCTAGTGAAGGGTCCCGGATGTGCCGCTTCCTCCCCCCCCCTTTTTTTTCCCTTTCTCCCCCGCCCCCCTTCCTTTCTGAGGCTCTGGCGGTATTCCTAGTTGCAACCGCCTTCTGTGTTATAGCATGCTTGGGCACTTCGGGGCTCCGGGACCCGCACTACATTGCAGGGTCCGAGCTACCTTCGTCCTCCTGCTTTCCGCGCTGGCCCGCTCCCGCCTCCTGAGGCCACGACTCCGAGGAGCGCAGGCGGCGAAGCAGGAGCGAGCGGCCTCCGCCGCCATCTTAGGGCAGCCCAGCCCCAGCGCGTGTGGGCAGCGTGCCGGCCGCCAGCTGTCCCGCCGCGTCGTGGCGCGCAGGGGGGAAGGTCCGAACCCGTCTGGCTCATTCCAGAACGGAGAGGCGAGGTTATCAGTCTACCTGCAGGGCAGGGAGTAAGTGCTAGTCAGGAGCAAGAAACTGCCCTCCCCTGAGGATATGAAAACGCGAAGCGGCCCCCCGCCGCGAAAGGCGTGGAGGGGTGGGGTAACAACACCTGCCTGAGATAGCGCCCAGTTTCGAGCTCCCCGTTACCTTCTGCTCTCTCTTAAGTAAAGTGTTCGTCCCTCTTTAAGGTTGACTGAGCCGGGGTTTGAGCTCAACCCCTTATCCTATTTCTTGCTTCGCCCTGGGCCCAGGCTACTTGACAAGCTGCTGTATTGAGATAGTCATATGGCTTCTGCCTGTGATGGATGTTGTTACCACACGACTGGCTATTGGTATCGCACAGCCTCTGATACTTCACGATTCAAACACACAGTTCAAACACACTCCTCTAATTCTCTGCAGAAGGGAGTCCTACAGGCACATGCCTGGGTCCGTGCCAGTACCCCAACCCTCCAGCACATGCAGCTAAGCTGCTTATCCAATACAATAACATTAGAAGTAGAGCCTTTAGGAAGTCAGTTCCATTCTTGAGGCTTAATTTTTGCACCTGCAAAATAAGGGATTCCGGCAGACATAAATTCACAGTGCTAAAATAATAATAGCAACCATTACTGAGGTCATTACTGTCCCAGACCTTGTGCTTAGTGTTTTACATACATCTAATCTTCGCAACACCACTATTAGGTATACAGTGTCATTTTAGCGAAAACAAAAGTCTTGAAATTATCAGTTGATTTATCTTACTGCTCTGTGCCATGGAATATTGGATAAGGGTATTTTGGAACCAACTATTTAAATAGTAGATTTAAGAAAGATATGTAGCTTTCGGTAATCTCAATGAGTTACTGAGATTCTTAAAATAGTGTTACAATATAGTGAACAGTGGTGAGCACAGTGCTAAAGCTAAAAGGTTGCATGACTCAACGTAGTAGTAGACCCTTCTAGACTAAGACAAATGACAATGTGGTGACCAAAGCAGTTAAACTCTTCAGATTTAGAATAATAATTTCGAACTACTCATGGGAAATAAGGTATGCATTCCAGCTGTATGAAACTGGTAATCGTCATGAATGTTCATTTTATTACATTTACAGATAGAGTCTTCTATTCCTATAATGGTGTGCAGAACTGTTTGCTCACACTACACAGCTCTGAATAGCTCTGCTTTTTTAGTTCTATTGTCTGTTGTAGTTTGCCTGTCCCTTCCCTCACTGTCAGTTGTTGCTTCTTACTGCTGTCAGGGAACATAGTTCTGTTATCCTCCCCACGGTTTTAATTTACTGCTTTTAATCTGCAAGCAAGAAAACCACATAATGAAGCTTGAGCAAAACTATCTCAAGAGTGTAAATAGGTACTTAGAGGAACTCTCTTTTAGAAAAACTGTGTGACCTTTGTGCAAAGACATTGTAACATCAGTTTTAAGCTGCTTAGGGACTTTTTTTTAACCTTCATATAGCCTTTTTCTCAGGAATAGATAAATTTCCTTAAGTAAGTTCTTTAAGAGTTAGAATATTTTACCCTGTTTTAGTATAGTTGATTATATGACTTCTAAACAGGTTACTATGATATGAATTTTTCAGTGTTACCACCGTACTGAATCAAATAACCAAGCTACAAGTTCAAGCTATAGATTCAGAAACATGCGGGATTATATATGTATGTATTTTGTGCTATATGAACCTAGAAATCCTTTTGCCTATAGTCATTTATGATAGCATCATCTTTTTGTCGTTTTTAAGCTGTATAGTTGCATCTTCATATATGTTGTACATATATTTCAGAAATAAATTATTTGTTGAGAAGTCACAGAAAAGACTCAGCAGTATCTAATATTTATCCAATGCATTACACACTGGACTCAATAAGAAAAATTACCTAACCAAAAAATATCTTACATTCCTTAACAAATTCAATAAGCTGTCAATGCAATAATTATTTGTTGAGTACCTAAAATGGCCAGACATAGTTCCTATCTATAAAATGCTCAAAGTCAATATCTATGAATTTAAAATGTTGTATCCTTTGAATTTGTATTGTTTTTGGTCTTAGCTTGGACTGATTGGTAGGGACATTGATTATCACATATGTATCTGAACCACTTGAAAAATATGAAGCCCTGACTATTTATGTATGGATTATATACTTTATAAAATTAGTACATTTTTAAGGGTAAGTTTCCTTTTCCACATTATCTATTAGGTTATTTTCTCCTGTTGATATCTACTGCATATTCAAGAACTGATAAATTAACAATGCTTGTAGAAGGAAAAGCTGCTTATGAAAAGATAATATTGATATGTGATAGGTTTACTTCTAAAAAATTGTATGTATGAGACTTTTGAAAATTAATGTATATTGGTCTGTGCCAGCTTACCACAGAATTTGTGGTGAAGCCTTTTATAAAGCAGAAATCACACTTGTTTAAAATTTTTCCACTTGATTCATATCCGATTGTATTCGACTGAGAGACTCCTAGAGTCTTAGTTTCATACGTGAAATGAATGGTTTCATTTCAACCAGTATTAATTGACTACTTAGGATATGCAGAGCACTGAGGGATTTGACTACTGGATTACTAAGTGCCTTCACTAGATATGAAATTTGGTGGATGTATGATAATTACAAATAATGAAGTGATAGAGCAATATTAGAGCAACAATAAGGGAATGATAAAAGCTTAGGTAATTCAAAACTATACATAATTTTCCACTCTTCTCTAAAGTATCCCCAACTCTACCAATCCCCACCGAAAGTATACTCTGGTTTTGAAAACATTGCTTTATTTATTTATTTTGATAGATTTGTCTTTCTAATTGTGTTTTAAGTAATACAAACCAACTGTTTGTTTAGCCGTCCTGAGGTATGTCCATCTTTATATGTAATCTGGAGTTATATTTTTACCCCAGCACAGAAAGGTGATAATAGAATCATAAGTTGACTACCTTTTCTCAAGATCGAAATATATTTGACTTACACATGCAGCTTTTCCTCTCAGTTAATGCAGAACATCAAATACAGTATTTGCAGCATTAAAACTAAGTAATTGGAAACAACTCAAATGTCTATCAGTAGGAGGATGGAAAAACAAATTGCCATATAATCATATAGTGGAATACTATTGAGCAGTAAAAGGAACTGACTAATGATACAAAAACATGGATGAATTTCAAAAACATTAATGTTTAGCAAAAGAAGCCAGGCGCGCGTGCGCACACAAGTGCATGTGCAGCAGGCACAAATCCACGTATGTAAAGTCCAAAAACAGGAAAATCTAATACGTATTTAGTGTTTTCCTATGATGGCAGGGGTGGAAAGGAGCATGAAGGAACAATTTAGGGTAATGGAAATGTTCCGTACTGTCCAACTTGGTAGCTGCTAGCTGCATGTGGCTTTTAATTTAAAATTCAGTTCTGCATTTACACTAGTCACATTTTAAGTGCTCAGTAGTCACATGTGGCTAGGGGCTACCAAATTGGACAGAGCAAATACAGAACGTTTATTCTAGAAGTTCTGTTATATTAGAAAGTACTGTTCCAGCTCTTGTTTTAGGTGCAGTAGCAATTATCAAAATTGTAATACAATGCACATTATATATGCATTATATGTTGATAATTCCTGCCACCAAACCCTAGAAATCATGAATAGAAGTATTTATTACCTAATTAACTCACTTTTTTCTTAATATTTTCATTCAACACCGCAGAGAAAATAAATATGTTCAAATATGTGTAACCATACAGTAAATGATGTTGAGTTGCTGCTCAGAGAAATGATTTCTGCCACTTGATAATACTGAATACATCTAGAAACCTAAAGAATTGCTTTTGAGTGCTTAAGGTGAACTCTAGATAATTAAAGATAAATTTTCACTATTTTTCTAGTGGAATTGCAATAATCTAAACATAGTAGAGATTATATAACTGTCTTCTGAGGTAACAGGAGTATTTATTTGAAAGATTTTTTCTCAACAGGGTTGAGAAAGTCGTGTAAACTCTAGAACATTTAAGACTCAAGGCTTTAGAAGGTGGAAGGGAACATTTATAAATCAAGAATTGAAAGACTTTAATGATCACAATTCTAAAATTCTTATTTTCATGGATTTTCAGAGATGGTACAACAGGT